TAGTTAATGCTAACTAATGTAGTTAACATTAACTAAGAATGAACAATACTCCTTCAGCATTTGTTAATCTTTGTTAATGTTAATTTCAACATTTACAAATACTTTATTTAAATCTTGTTAACATTAGTTAATGCACTGTGAACTAACATGAACTAACAATGAACAGCTGGATTTGTATTAACTAACGTTAACAAAGATGAACAAAAACAGTAACAAATGTATTGCTCATGGTTAGTTAATGTTAATTAATACATTAATGTTTAATAAATTAACCTTATTGTAAAGTGTTACCGACATTTTTAATCTTTTTTTTAATCAGCTTTCAGCATTGGCTAACAAACAAATGCTTAAAGCTATTTTTTTATTAAAAAAATACCAAAGTGGTATTTTACTGCCCCTTGCTGTCATTTCATCATACTACTCCCTAATATTGTTTTATAATTCATATTTAGAATTTCTAAAATCATTATTTCAACATTTACAATCACATTTTGTCCAAATTCATCTATTGGAGTATTATGGACTGCATTTATTTATTTTATTTATTACTATTTACAATTGTGTCACAGGAAGGCTGAAAACGAAAGTATAACGTTGGGCCACGCCCCCCAAGGACAAATTCACTCATAACTCGAAAACAGAAAGTCGCTGCACGCTCAAATTTTGATGGTAAGGTTCTCTCGGGGTTCTTGATCCAAATCTATCGTCGCGGGGCTCGGGAACGCCCCCAATCTTTAGATAATTTTTTCATTATCTCGTTCCCGAGATATAAGTGAAAACCAAATTTCCATTCATTTATTTCAACTGTATATAGTCTGTAATACCACTGTTATCCAATAGATGGAGCAGCAGCATTATACAAATGCTGAAGGAGTATTGTTCATTCTTAGTTAATGTTAACTAATGTAGTTAACTTTAACTAAGAATGAACAATACTCCTTCAGCATTTGTTAATCTTTGTTAATGTTAATTTCAACATTTACAAATACTTTATTAAAATCTTGTTAACATTAGTTAATGCACTGTGAACTAACCTGAACCAAAGAGTATAGAAGAACAAGAGGCGAAACTCCGATGCTTTTCTGGTAACAGCCACTAGGTGGCGCGGCCGCCATTTTGGGGTGAAAATTCCAACTGGAGTTACTGGGCAACAGCACAGATAACAGTTTTTTAGGTAGTTTTTCTTGCATTTTTATGCAACTTTACACATTTACTACTATTATTAGTTACCAACTCCACTAGGCCTGAAATATATTTTATACGTTTTAATCCCCTGGATCGTGCTACAAACATGATGATCTTAACATGATGCATTGGTGTGTCCGTTATCTGTGTTTTTTTGTTTACATAGGCTTGCTTTAACGGTCATTAATATAAAATAGTACTGCAAAAAAACCAGTTTACTGTAAAGCTATTCTATTGCTGTTATATATTTATTGTCCAACATTTACATTTTAGTACAATTACATTTATTTGCTGAATTCATTTATTTCATTGAACTTATTTTTGTATGTAAGGTTATGTGTACCTCCTGGGAAACGGTCTAACGTTATAACTTTATGAACTTACATCACTTTATTCTTCTTACCTGTCAAACTTAATGTAGAGATTAATATAATTAATTAAATCCTTGAACTTCCCTGTCTCAAGTTATGTGGGGGAAAAGCCTAGTAGCAACTTCTTTTTAACGGATATAACGTTAACTGTTGTGAATTAAAATAATCACCTAATTATTTCAACCTAAAAATGACCTCTGCACTGGACTAAATATATGTATAATATATGACTGCCGAGTCGCTTTCACCCCAAAATGGCGGACGCGTAGGGCTGCTGCTGGGCGCTGGTGTTGCAATGGAACGTTCTATTGGCTTTCACTTCTTGTCAATATACGTTCTTTGCCTGAACTAACAATGAACAGCTGGATTTGTATTAACTAACGTTAACACTAGAAGTGCCAGAATTCCATAACTACTAGAACTGCCACAAGCGGTCATTTTGACCGTTAGATTGCAAACTCTATATCTTTAATGATAAATACCCAATTGAGAGATTAATGCATTTGTTGTATTAGGATATCTTTTAAAAACAAAACAACACCAAACTGTACATTTTAAAAAGTTTAATTATACATTTATAAATAATAATATCAGTAGCCCGTAATTATCGCATAGGGCCTATTCACAACAGAGCTATATTTCCATATCCCTTCAACATAACTCAGAACAAGATAATAACAACTAAAAGTATCTTATTTAGATATTCTTTTGACAGTGAGAGAGACAATGTCACGGTTTATGAATTCGCTGTCTCCTTTCTCGTCTTGTTGTGTGTGTGTGTGCGTGGTCGCTGATCAATGCAGCTTATCAGCACGTGCGCTCTGATCAACGCGCCAGCTGCAACTGATCAGCGATTCGACCCTTTTCAGTGTTACTGTTCTCGCCTAGTCTTTGGGTGTTTCTCAAAACCAAGAATGCAAAGAACGGACTTGTGTTCTTGGGGAGAACGCTCTTGCTAGTTGTTCTTGGAAGAATGAACTCACAAGCTAACGAGCACACAGAACGCTGCTGACAGTTTGAGACGATGTGTTCTTGCTGGTATTGCGCAATAATACCCCCGCACAGACACCGTCTGCAGTACCCAAACATAACGAGAATTATTGACGATAACAGCCAGGCTGCAATGGTCTCTTGGCTGTGGGGAAAAACGAGTCTGTGAGCAAACTGGCCGGTTGGCTCGATAGCTGACGTTACACCCGCAGGCGCTTATGGAGATTCTCACTTCCGAAAACGTTTGAGCACATTTTCGATTAGCCATACATTTTCGTAAAAATGCCAATATTTGAAATCTACACAGTTGATTTCTCGCATCAAATGTTCTCAGAAGTGAATTTAGTGATGAAATAGTGTACGTAATTGTAGAAAAACGAAATACTGTATTGACCTGCCTCTCCTTCCTCGAATGCCGAATTGAATGCTGGGATATTTCTGCCGTCAAGTTCACACAAGTTACCAACCGATGCATCCTTGGTAAAATGGGCGTGTCAAGAACACATCCGGGATTTTTAACTGTTCTTGCCAAAATGCAAACTTGTGTATTGGGACAGTACTTGGGCCACAAAAGATGACGTTTCACAAGAACACAAGGACACAAGTACAGACAAGAACACAGGTTGAGAAAGGCCCTTTGTCAGATCGTTGTGGATTTTTCCTGCGTGTTTGTTCCCTGCCTGTATACGTTTTCCGTGTGTCATCCCGTGTTCAGCACTCCTGGTTCAGCACTCACTCCAGCGTCCCTGTGCTGCCAAGGGCTTCATACCGGACATTTGCACACCTTAACTCTCCCAGCATCTGACCAGCTCTCAATAAACATATCTGTCATTTTGCAATTGAATCTTCTGATTTTTTCCTAATACACAAAGGTCAACCGCGAGAAATGTAACAAAAGAATACCGTGAAATTCAGTGCGGTCAATATGACCGTCTATGGCCGAAATAGGTAAATATGTTCATTTGTTTGTTTGCCTTATGTGTAATTTATATTAAAAACATTTTAAATGAAAATACAGACACTTTTAGGAAAAGTCAGGTACCAGCAGGATTTTTTTTTTTTTTCAACAAAGTTATTACAGATATAAAATTCAAAACGGTCAAAATGACCGTCGTGGCCATTCTAGTGTTAACAAAGATGAACAAAAACAGAAACAAATGTATTACTCATGGTTAGTTCATGTTAATTAATACATTAACTAATGTTTATTAAATGAACCTTATTGTAAAGTGTTACCGACATTTTTAATCTTTTTTATCAGCTTTCAGCATTGGCTAACAAACAAACGCTTAAAGCAATTTTTTTATTAGTTTTAATATAGTTTTATATTATTACATCACAAAGAAATATGTGAAATGCATGCTTATACACCATTAAAAGAGATTTTCACAATAACATATCCCATGTGTGTGTGTGTGTGTGTGTGTGTAAGCATATGTCTACATATGAATGCAAAAGCACTTGTGAAAACACTTTATTAATAAGTACAGTGGCCAGCAGAGGGCAGTAGAAGACCACTTATTGGCTCACTTTCATTTTGACACACTTGATTTTCACCAGTAAATCACAGCACTAAAGCAAACCAGTTTTTCCATGTTAACTATTATAACACAATCATTTTTTGTCAGAGTTTATCACTTCATTTTTATTGGCCCTTCACATCAATGCAGCAATGTGGTAAATCATGGTAAATCACGATAGAAACATGGTAAATCATAGTAAAAAATACTATTACATGGTGGATCATGGCAAATCATGCTAGCAATGTGATGAATCATGGTAAATCATGCTACAATCCTGGTAAATCATTCTAGAATGTGGTATATCATGGTAAATCATCCTATAACATGGTAAATGATGGTAAACTGTGGTAAATCATGCTAGATTCATGGTAAATCATACTGGAACATTGTAGATCATGAAAAATCACACTAAATTTGGTATATCATGGTAAATCATGCTAAAACATGGTCTATTCCATCTATGATGTCAATGGTTAAATGCTTGCTACATAAAACTTAATGTCTTTTGATGCTTTTGTGCTTAACGGCCTTAAAGGCCTTAACTGCTTGAACACCGCTAAATGCTGCTAGCAGCTTTAATTTTTTTTTGTTATCTTCTACTTATTCTTGTGGCAGATGTATGCACTTCAATGCTGACTGTGCATACAACCGCCAATATGAACTGTGCTCTGAACTCATTCAGTCTTTTTAACAATTAGTAATTCTTAATCTTTTCCATCACATAATTGGATAACATGTATTAACATATATATTTCACCATGAATTCCCATGACATCTATTATATATATTTCTATGTACTCTGGATATTGGACAGCAGATTGAACAAGACTTTTATTTTGGTCTGGTGATATGACATCATAAATCTGCGCCGTGCTCCTGCAGCTGTTGTGATTAGACTGAAGAAAGGTTTGTGGTTTTACGCATTTAAAGAGTTTAAATCGATACACGTCAATTTGATAGTTGTTACAAGAGGTATGTGACCATGTATTATTGAACATATCTTTGTTATGCTTAATGTAACAATTTTGTGGGGTTTTTGAGTAAAGGGTTTGAAATTGAGTTACAGAAAAGGTGCGTCTCAATTCGCGCAATATATCTTGTATCAGTTTCTCGTAAACATGAATTCGGGTTTTGGAAAAGTGGTGATGGAGAAACGGAGCTTTTCGAAACTCAATTGAATCTAATGCTTTGCCAAATGACTCACTGATTCGAAGCGCTTGAATCACCGCGCGCTAACGAATCCTGCCGCTCAAAACAGAGTAAAAATACAACGAAAACACAAATATGATGATTAACAATGACACATTTCATGAACAAGTCTTACATGTTTTTATGACAACGTAATCTGTTAAATCTACTAATTATTAAATATGAAGTGTCTGTAATTTATTGTATATTGTTGTGCCTGTTTTGAATGATTTTTGTCTGATCAGTTGATTTAAGTCCATGAACTCTCACTCTCACTGACTCCCTCACCAGTGCGCTGAACTACTGAACTACAGCTGATTGAGACACACAGATTTACTGTGGATTTATTTTTCTTTCTGTTAATTATTCTCATCGTCAACCATTTTTCAAACACACAGGAAAACTCCTGGAGAAACATCTGAGATCCACGTGACACTATTATAAAGATGGCGTTTATTAAAGAGGAGAGTGAAGACATAAAGATTGAAAAAGTGTTCAGCGTGAAACATGAAGATACTGAGGAACAAACAGGTTAGTTTCATTCGGCCCTATTTAAAGGGGTGGTAAAACATGATTTCACCTTCTAACTTTAGCTAGTGTGTAAAGTTGCTGTTTGAGCATACCCAGCAAACATGCTCCTTTAGGGCCCGAATGGTTTATTCACAGTCATGTAAAAAATATATACAATACATTACCGTTCAAAACTTTGGGGTCAGTAAGATTTTTTAAATAGCCCTACTTTTGAACAAAGTAATTTTACAAAGTAATTATTCCTGGGATGTTAAAACTGAATTTTCAGTAGCTAGCATCTAGTCGTCAGCATGTAAATCGTGAAAAAAATTCAGGAATGTTTGAACAGAACTGTCAAAAGAGTAGCATTTATTTGAAAAAGATTTTGAGTTAACAAAAAAGTCAAAACAAAAAAAATGTAATCATATAAAACCACATCACAACACATTAAGGTAGATTATGAATCCTCTAATAAAATAAATCAATCCCCTCGGAAACCGGAGTAACTTGCTCCTTCCACCATCCCAGTCTCTTGCATTAGGATCAGCATCAACCCCTTCGGATGCTGCTTCAGCTGTGTCAGCATCTAAAGTGAGAAAAACAACAACAATTGAAATGTTAACATAAAAAAAAATTATAAAAAAAAAGACGGGGGTTGTTCCAAGTGTAATTTATACACTTGTGTTTTCCCAAGGGTTAGGCCATTTCCACCTCAGAGAACAAAGAATCTTCTGCACTTTGACTGGAGGATAATTTGAGTTCCGGAAAAATAGTTACAGGTTTTTTATTAATATTAAAAACAAATGTAGGTGGTGTTGTTGAGAGAGAAACATACAGAGGGCATGATGAATTGAGGGCATGATGAAATGAGAGCATGAGAACGATTTACAAAAATTATCAACACAATATATAATTTTGTCAACTTGTACTCACACTCATGTCATTCCAACCCTGCATTATTTCTTCTGTGGGAGATTCTTCTGATATTTTGAAAAATGACTCAATAAAAAGTCAATGTGATTTTCATTGTATGGACAAAACAGATTAAACAATATTCAAAATTCTTCTTTTGCATTCCACAGAAAAAAGTAAATAATACATTTTTGGAACAACATGAACAACCCCTCAATGTCTTTATCAAGAAATCATTGATGGCTTTAACTTGCAGCATGAATATGTAATTTCTATTAAAGAAAATACAGAGAATGTGTCTGACAGTCAAAAATGTACTTACACAGAAAAAGAGTGACCTGTGCCCGAGTGGCTCTCTGTTGGGTTCATTTAGCTGTTTGACACACAACACAATTAAGGAAAAAAGAGAGAAGACAACTGAATATTAGTAATATTACATAAATCTATACAAATAAAAATTATAATTTTTTTCATCAGTGATTATTGACTAATTAATATGTCAGGAGTTCTCAACTCTGGTCCTCGAAGTGCACTGTCTTGCAGTTTGTGTCCAGACCTGATCAATCTCACTTGCTCCTTTAAAGGGATTTTTGAAAATGACTGTTCATGTAGTGTGTAATATAGCTCTAAGTGAATGAAAACATCCTGCAAAGTTTTATATCTGAAAGTGCACCGTATATAAAGTTATTGTCTTTCAAAAGTGAGAGTCGACTCTGAGTCAATGAAATGAATTGTTTTTCAAACGAGTCATTAGCCGTTTCGTAGTGACGTAGATGCGAAACATTAGCACATTGGCCGCGCCCAGTTATTGCGCGCGCACTCGAAGGGAAACTTAAACCTCAAACGCAGCTGATTCCTGTACTGGACAGCATCATGTCGAGAAGACGGCGCTGTGCATAATGTGAAGGTAAAGCCAGTTATTTTTCACTCCCCAAGGATGAGCATGTGAAGAATCAGTGGTTAAAATTCATCTTTACCAAGATATCACAGCAGTATAATCCTAAACTATTGCTGTGTTCCCTTTATTTTACTGCAGGATTCACAAACCGCTTGATCCATCTAGTCATGTTCAGGACATATTGCAGGGGATCTCAGCTCTGGCCCTTGAGGACCACTGTCCTGCAAACTTTAGCACCAAACCCTGGTCCAAGTCAAACACACCTGAACAAGCCCAACACACCTGAACAAGCCCAACACGCCTGAACAAGCCCAACACACCTGAACAAGTCCAACACACCTGAACAAGCCCAACACACCTGAACAAGCTCAACACACCTGAACAAGTCCAACACGCCTGAACAAGCCCAACACACCTGAACAAGCCCAACACACCTGAACAAGCTCAACACACCTGAACATGTGTTGGGCTTGTTCAGGTGTGTTGAGCTTGTTCAGGTGTGTTGGGCTTGTTTAGGTGTGTTGAGCTTGTTCAGGTGTGTTGAGCTTGTTTAGGTGTGTTGAGCTTGTTCAGGTGTGTTGGGCTTGTTCAGGTGTGTTGGGCTTGTTCAGGTGTGTTGAGCTTGTTCAGGTGTGTTGGGCTTGTTTAGGTGTGTTGAGCTTGTTCAGGTGTGTTGAGCTTGTTTAGGTGTGTTGAGCTTGTTCAGGTGTGTTGAGCTTGTTCAGGTGTGTTGAGCTTTTTCAGGTGTGTTGGGCTTGTTCAGGTGTGTTGGGCTTGTTCAGGTGTGTTTGACTTGGACCAGGTGTGTTGGGCTTGTTCAGGTGTGTTGAGCTTGTTCAGGTGTGTTGGGCTTGTTCACGTGTGTTGGGCTTGTTCAGGTGTGTTGGGCTTGTTCAGGTGTGTTGAGCTTGTTCAGGTGTGTTGAGCTTGTTCAGGTGTGTTGAGCTTGTTCAGGTGTGTTGGGCTTGTTCAGGTTTGTTGGGCTTGTTCAGGTGTGTTGGGCTTGTTCAGGTGTGTTGAGCTTGTTCAGGTGTGTTGAGCTTGTTCAGGTGTGTTGGGCTTGTTCAGGTGTGTTGGGCTTGTTCAGGTGTGTTGAGCTTGTTCAGGTGTGTTGAGCTTGTTCAGGTGTGTTGAGCTTGTTCAGGTGTGTTGGGCTTGTTCAGGTTTGTTGGGCTTGTTCAGGTTTGTTGGGCTTGTTCAGGTGTGTTGAGCTTGTTCAGGTGTGTTGAGCTTGTTCAGGTGTGTTGGGCTTGTTCAGGTTTGTTGGGCTTGTTCAGGTGTGTTGGGCTTGTTCAGGTGTGTTGAGCTTGTTCAGGTGTGTTGGGCTTGTTCAGGTTTGTTGGGCTTGTTCAGGTGTGTTGGGCTTGTTCAGGTGTGTTGAGCTTGTTCAGGTGTGTTGAGCTTGTTCAGGTGTGTTGGGCTTGTTCAGGTTTGTTGGGCTTGTTCAGGTGTGTTGGGCTTGTTCAGGTGTGTTGGGCTTGTTCAGGTGTGTTGAGCTTGTTCAGGTGTGTTGAGCTTGTTCAGGTGTGTTGGGCTTGTTCAGGTGTGTTGGACTTGTTCAGGTGTGTTGGGCTTGTTCAGGTGTGTTGGGCTTGTTCAGGTGTGTTGAGCTTGTTCAGGTGTGTTGGACTTGTTCAGGTGTGTTGGACTTGTTCAGGTGTGTTGGGCTTGTTCAGGTGTGTTGGACTTGTTCAGGTGTGTTGGGCTTGTTCAGGTGTGTTGGGCTTGTTCAGGTGTGTTGGGCTTGTTCAGGTGTGTTTGACTTGGACCAGGGTTTGGTGCTAAAGTCTGGAGGACAGTGGTCCTCAAGGGCCAGAGCTGAGATCCCCTGCAATATGTCCTGAACATGACTAGATGGATCACTTACAGCAATGGTGTCCAGTCCTGGTCATGGAGGAGTTTAGCTGTTTGTAGTTTCTACTGATCCTGAAGACCTCCATCAACTGCTTCAAATCTGCTTAACTGGGGTTGGAGCTCAATTCTGCAATCAGGATTAGATGACAATGAATACTGAAAAGAGAGAGGTCAAACAACATTTTAATGTTATAAACCCAGTTTAAACTTTTATTCATGAATATGTACAATAACATCTAAGAATGTATGCTACATATGACACCACTGACTGTACTGACAAATAAAATACCCAAAATATTAACAGATAACATAAGCAAAATGTTTATGAAAATACAGTTATATATATGGTGTAAAGAAAGTTTTTGTAAATCTCTATGACAAATCTACAATGCAAAAACTGAGAATGTGTCAGACAGTGATTCCAACAGAATACTTACACAGAGCAGTACCAATTATCTGATTACACACAAGGAGAAGGGAGAAAAAGAAACAAATATTTAATGTTATTAAATAAACCAATAATAAACTAAATTATAATAGCACCAAAAGGTACATTACACTTACACTTACTTGAATACATTTAGTTTTAAAGTATGTATTACCTCGGAGA